AAATTTTTTTCAGGCGAATGGAAATGAGATAAAAGTTAGGGTAGCAATACTTATATCTGACAAAATATACCTCAAAGTGAAGGCCATAACAAAAGATAAGGAGAGCCACTTCATAATACTAAAGAAATTCAACAAGAGGATATAACTCTGGTAAACATATATGCACCCAATACAGAAGCACCCAAATACATAAAAAAAAAAAACTTCTGGAGGATATCAAAGGAGAGATCGACAGCAATACAATCATTGTGTGGGACTTTAATACCCCACTGACACCACTGGATAAATTCTCTAATCAAAAAATCAGCAAATAGATCCTGGAGAAACCAAGATGGTGGCATAGGTTAACGCTGGAGATTGCTGCCTCCAACAACCACTTCAAAAAAACAACTAAAAGACAGAACGGACATCATCCAGAACCACTGGAAGGCTGGCTGAGTGGAAATTCTACAACTAGGAGGAAAGAGAATATCATACCCAGACTCAGAGGAGGCGCAGTGCTGAAGTGAAATACTAAGGTGCGGAGTGCACACGGAGCGGGCTGGAGGCGGAGGGCGCGGTTGTCGTTTTCAATTGGGAGGGAGTCTCAGGCCCTGAGCTCCAGTTCTGGGCGAGTCTCTAGGGACCCAGACTCAAACGGGAGAAGCGGGACTGTCTGGCTTCGGTCGGAACTTGAAGCAGCTTTCTCTCCGAGGTTTGCAGCGGTTGCTGGGACTCTGTGAGGCAGAGCCCCTAGGGACGGAACTGAGAGCAGCCATAACTGCTCGCTCCAGCCCGCCCTGTAGATCCCCGGGGACCCGCCCCGCCCAAGCCCTGTGCAGAGCCATTTGCCAGATAGCCTCAGGCAAAGGCTAGATTAGCACCGCCCTAGAGATCCAGCATAGAAGCTCTCCCACTGCAGACACAGCAGACTCTCATAGCCAGTTAGCCTGGAGGTCAAATCACCCCCGGTATTGCCGACAATAATCAAGGCTTAACTACAACAAGACTGTGCACAAAGACCACTAGGGGATGCACCAAGAAAGCATAAAAAATGCGGAGACAAAGAAACAGGACAAAACTGTCAATGGAGGATATTGAGTTCAGAACCACACTTTTAAGGTCTCTTAAGAACTGTCTAGAAGCCGTCGATAAATGTAGTGAGATCCTCAAGAAATCTAATGAGACCCTCGATGTTATGATAAAGAACCAACTAGAAAGTAAGCATACACTGACTGAAATAATGAATACTATACAGACTCCCAACAGCAGACTAGAGGAGTGCAAGAATCAAGGCAAAGATTTGAAATGCGAAGAAGCAAAAAACACCCACCCAGAAAAGCAAAATGAAAAAAGAATCCGAAAATACGAAGATAGTGTAAGGAGCCTCTGGGACAGCTTCAAGCGTACCAACATCAGAATTATAGGGGTACCAGAAGATGAGAGAGAGCAAGATATTGAAAACCTATTTGAAGAAATAATGACAGAAAACTTCCCCCACCTGGTGAAAGAAATAGACTTACAGGTCCAGGAAGCGCAGAGAACCCCAAACAAAAGGAACCCAAAGAGGACCACACCAAGACACATCATAATTAAAATGCCAAGAGCAAAAGACAAAGAGAGAATCTTAAGAGCAGCAAGAGAAAGAAACTCAGTTACCTACAAGGGAATACCCATACGACTGTCAGCTGATTTCTCAACAGAAACTTTGCAGGCCAGAAGGGAATGGCAAGAAATATTCAAAGTGATGAATACCAAGAACCTACAACCAAGATTACTTTATCCAGCAAAGCTATCATTCAGAACTGAAGGTCAGATAAAGAGCTTCACAGATAAGGAAAAGCTAAAGGAGTTCATCACCACCAAACCAGTATTATATGAAATGCTGAAAGGTATCCTTTAAGAAGAGGAGGAAGAAGAAAAAGGTAAAGATACAAATTATGAACAACAAACATGCATCTATCAACAAGTGAATCTAAGAATCAAGTGAATAAATAATCTGGTGATCATAATAGAATCAGGGACATAGAAAGGGAATGGACTGACTATTCTTGGGGGGAAAGGGGTGTGGGAGATGTGGGAAGAGACTGGACAAAAATCGTGCACCTATGGATGAGGACAGTGGGTGTGGAGTGAGGGCGGAGGGTGGGGCGGGAACTGGGAGGAGGGGAGTTTTGGGGGGAAAAAAGAGGAACAAATGTAATAATCTGAACAATAAAGATTTAATTTAAAAAAAATCAGCAAATAAACAGCAATCCTAAATGACTCACTAGATCAGATTGACTTATTTGACATCTTCAGAACATTTCACCCCAAAGCTACAGAAAACACATTCTTCTCAAGTGCACACAGGACATTTTCAAAGATAGACCATATATTAGGACACAGGCAATCTCTTCAAATTCAGGAAGATAGAAATCATATTTTAAAAATGGGCATAAGACCTGAATATACTTTCTCCCAAGAGGACATACAAATGGCCAAGAGACACACACAAAAAAATGCTCAAAGTCACAAATCATCAGAGATATGCGAATTAAAACCACAATGAGATATCACCTCGCACCAGTCAGAATGGCTATCATAAAGATTTTTTTTAACTCTAATTCAAGCCCATACTTTGGAATTATAAAATATATAAAGTCAAATCTGAAAGAAAAGATATAAAAATATTGATACACATACAAATGAATTGAAAGGTTCTTATAGTAAAACATGATGTAAAAAAGACAATTTAGAATAACTCTATTGGAAATATCAATGCTTCAAATAGCTCCACCATTAATATACCTTAAGCAGTCTGTAGTGTTACCATGCCTCCCATCAGTGGTAATGTCTAATGGGTACTTCCTGTGCCAGAATTTACCCATTGTACTGGTTGCCACTAATGTTGGCTAGGACTCACTGAACAGAAATTAGCATCAGGATAAATTAAGGGGAAACCTGGGGCATTCTGTTGCTCTCCAAAACAAAGATTTTTCAGAGATGTCTGGAAGCAAAACAGAAAAAAAAAAAAAAAAGCTAACTTGGAGAGAACTCCCACTAAAAAAAGTGGTAACAAATTGAATATTAAAAAATAATAATTACAAAAAATTGGAATGAGCTGAGCTTGTCATCTAAGCAGTGAGTTCCTAATAATACTACAAAGTACATGTGACAAAAGTATCTTTTCCATACATATTTGAATTTCCAATATTAAAAAATTTGTGATATAGCAGTATATATCAATGTATAACCAAATTATGTAAAGCTTACACTTAGTCTAGGTATGTCAAAAATAAGTTACCTAAGATGATTATCCTATACTAGAGGCCCGGTGCACAAAATTTGTGTACTAAGGGTGAGGGCCCTCAGCCCAACCTGAGCCCTCTCGCAGTCTGGGAGCCCTTGAGGGATGTCTAGCTGACGGCTTAGACCACTCCCCCTGGGGAGCAGGCTTAAGCCAGCAGTGGGACATCCTTAGCACTGCCGCAGAGGCGGGAGAGGCTCCTGCCACTGCTACTGCACTCACCAGCATAAGCCCGGCTTCTGGTTAAAAGGGTAATATGCAAATAGACTGAATGGCGGAATGATGCTATGATGCTCAATGCAGGAGCTGCCCCGGTGGTCAGTGCACTCCCACTCAGCCAGAAGCCGGGCTTGTGGCTGGCGAGCACCTGTGAGCACAGCAGCAGCAGCAGGAGCCTCTCCCACCTCCACAACAGTGCTAAAGATGTCCGGCTGACAGGGGAGCAGGCCTAAACTGTCAGTCGGACATCCCCTGAGGGTTCCGGGACTGCGAGAGGGCACAGGCTTGGCTGAGGGACCACCCCCCTCGAGTGTACGAATTTCACCAGGCCTCTAATTTACAATGTTAGACCAACATTTATTGATATGGCATGTTGTCATTGTTATTTAAAAAAGTAATCTACATACCCTGGCTGGCTTGGCTCATTGGATAGAGCATCAGCTGGCAGACTAAAGGGTCTTAGGTTCAATTCCAGTGAAGGACATGTACCTCAGCTGCAGGCTTGATCCCAATGCAGGAGGCAACCAATTGATGTGTGTCTCTCACATCGATGTTTCTCTGTCTCTCTCCCTCTACTCTCTCTAGAAAGCAATGTAAAAATATCCTCAGGTGAGGATTAATAAAGGATAAAAATAAATAAAGCAATCGACAAAACAGCCTAAGAGGTATACTAACATGAATTTATTTATTTATTGGAATATTTAAATATTCAGAGAAATATTATGTTTGTGTGTGTGTGTACACAAGTTAATAGGGTGGTGCTGGGATTACAAATGATTTATCTTTCTCTTTAAACAGATTTATACTCTAAATCCTAAAATATTACATATTAATAAAATTAAAAGCAATTACTCTAAAATTAATTGGTGGGTAAAAATTGAAAACTTTTTCCAAGAAATTCTGATTCTAAGAAAAAAATCAGTTATGTCATTTTTCTATAAGAATTACAAGTATAGTTTATAGTGTGAAATAAAATCAAAAGTAGTTACTATATATATAAAAGGCTAAGCAACCATCCAACCGTCCAACTGTCCGACCAATAGCAATGACACACACTGACCACCAAGGGGCAGACACTCCTACTGGTAGCTATGATGTGCACTGACCACCAGGGGGCAGATGCTCAACACAGGAGCTGCCGAGCTGTGGTGACTTGGCAGCAGCAGCTCTCGGGTGACGCACCCTAGAACCAGAGAGGAGGGAGCCTGATTGCGAGGGGTGTTACCTGAGAACCATGCTCTCGCAATCCAGGACCCCTCAGGGAATGTAAGAGAGCTGGTTTCGGCCTGATCCCTGCAGGCCAGGCTGAGGGACCCCACCTACCAGAGGGACCCTTCTCACTCCACAGATGCCCTTCGAGCCACAGCGCTACTTCAGGTGCAGCCGGGTGGGGAGGGACCGTGGGAGGTTGGCTCCAGGGTGTGTCCAGTCCGTCTGGCCAAGTCCCGCTCCGCCAGCCACCTTCTAATAAATTTCCTTTCAATGTGCACAAATCCGTGCACTGAAGCAGTAGTATCAAATAATAAGGCAGGACTTTTTATATTATGGTCAAAATATAACACATATCATTTAGGGGAACCAATCCATTGTCATCTTGTATAGGGTACTTTCAAAAATCCAAACTAACAAAAGCTTCTTCTCTAACAGCCCATATTAGAGGTGAAAGTTAAATCTACCTTTTTGTCACCCTCTCCTCTATTTCTGCGCCGTTGTATCTCTAGCCCAGCTTCTTTCTGAACACCTTCTGCAGACTTTGTCAGAAGCAGCATCTCTTTTTTCTTCCATTCCTGAAGAGCACAGTGTTACTGTGATTAGTGTTTACAGTAACCCCTTGTATTTTGTCCACCACCAACAAGCAAATTAGAACAAGTCAAGAGCCTAAAAGAAATCAGATCAAGTGTAGTGGGAGTCAAACATTGGCTTTTGAATGGGCTTCTTTCCTTCCTGCACTCCTACTAGGAATGCTAAATTTAAAAAGATATCCCGCTCACACTGAAAGCGATCAGGGAGTTAAATGGTGCCTGGTAACTTCCACAATCCTCTCCTTAAGAGCAGATATAATTTGTGGTGTCAGTCTCATTATTTTATGTAACAACTTGTATATCATAGCTGTGAAGAAAGATTAATGTGGGTAAATTACTTAGACTTGAAATGACTTCAAGAAATATTATAGACAACTAAAATTATTTTCAAATAAAACACTAGGCACAATCTTTCTCTTAATATTTTAAATGTATCTCTCACCTCTTCAAATTTTCTATGAAGAATATGTTTTCTTCTTGTGTGTTCCTGCTGTCGTCTTTTTTCTCTTTCCAACCAGAGGAGGCGCTGCTCTTCTCTTGTACATCCACATTGATCTAATTTCATACTTATCTTATCCAAATAACTAAATAAAAGTGCAAATGCAAGTGAAGATGAATTGCATGTTTCCCTTATAGTGGCATCAGCTGCTTTGATACACCCAGACCACCTCATTACTCAGTCTTATTTCTTGCACTGTAAGAATTTTCAGTTTTTCTCTCAGTTCTGTTCATGGACTTGTAAGCCAGCTCTCACCATGCTTTGTCATACAGATCTCTCTACCATGTCAGTATCTGTTCTTATGGCCAAGACAGTGGTAAAATGTGGAGCAGATTCCTTCAAAATACTTTGCACAGTCCTAGCCATTTTGGCTCAGTGGACAGAGTGTCAGCCTGCAGACTGAAGGGTCATGGGTTCTATTTCAGTCAAGAGCAAGTACCTCAGTTGCAGGCTCAATCCCGGGCCCTCATGTGGGAGACAACCAATCGATGTCTCTCTCACATTGATGTTTCTCTCTCTGTCTCTCCCCCCTTACTTCCACTCTCTGAAAATCAATAGAGAAAATAACCTCGGTTGAAGATTAACAACAAAAACACAAAAATACATTTTGCACAGTAATTATTCATAACTCAGTGAGTTTGCAAAGAAGGCTGGAATAACTGAAAATTTAATTTCAAATCTAGAAAGAAAAAAAAAAGGTTGAATTTCCGAAGAAAAAGATGTATCCCGGGTCCCCAGTGACTTGCAGAGCCTTAAACAAATCTTCCATCTATAATTCGGGTCTCTGCTATGTCAATATGCTTATGGAACTACCACAAAATGGACCCACAGAATATAAAAGTCAGGCTGTGCAGCCCAATCCCTCACCTTAATGAAGGATGAAAGAGGAGGAGGAGAAAACAATAATATCCCTAAGATATGGGCTTGACCATGAAATGGTTATGGTTGACCATGAGCAGGTAATATCTGAGGAGCTTACACATTTTCTTTTGGAGGCAATGCATCTCTACATCAGTACTAGATATAGTTTAGACAAACCTCTATTTTTGACTTTGCATGAACGTCTTTAAATTTAATGCTGTCAGCCCTTAAAGATGAATCATAAAAAGCGACTGCTGCCCTCGCCAGTTTGGCTCGGTGGATAGAGTGTCAGCCTGTGGACAAAAGGGTCCCAGGTTCGATTCCGGTCAAGGGTATGTACCTTGGTTGTGGGCACATCCCCAGTCGGGGGTGTGCAGGAGGCAGCTGATAGATGTTTCTCTCTCATCGATGTTTCTAACTCTCTATCCCTCTCCCTTCCTCTCTGTAAAAAATCAATAAAATATATTTAAAAAATAAATAGAAGCAACTGCTAAAGGCCAGTGCTAAAAGATTGTTTTCCTCCATTTGCAACAACAGGAAGGATTTTGGATCTCATTTGTCCTTTAGTTATCAGTTTGGATTACCTCTTGTACTCCCAGAAATCCTGTCGTCTCTGGTGGAATTTGCTCTTCCTTCCCTTGACACCCAAGTTCCCAATTTCTGTACCTCTTGGTCTCCCTTCCTCTCTATACTTAGGTCAATAGTGGGATTAAATAGTGTCTAGTACATTTTTAAAAATTTCCAGCTCCAATTCTTTCTAGTATTTTTCCAACTTATTTGAGTCTACAATCTATACATAAAATATGCATTCACTTCCATCTTACCTGGGCATTTCTAATGGCTCCTGGTCCTTAAAAGGTTGGGTCTCCTCCCATAAGAACCAATTTTGGAATTGTGCATCATCAGGAAGTCCATGTAGTTGATTGTTTAGTTGTAGTTTATTTATTTGTTTTGCAAGCATTCCCTGTATCATATAAATGCATATATCTGTATGTGTGTGTATTTATACATATATATGTTTTTAAAATTTACAGAAATGAATTGTCCTTTGACATATACCTTTTTATAGTTAGTGTTTAGTAAACTTCTTGTATTTTCTAAATAACTAAGTCAGTTTAACTGCATTTAAATCTATTTTGAATCCATTACAGACATGGGTAACTGAACCAAAGTAAAAATGTATCTCTCTAAAAATTAAAAGTAAATATCTCATTGTACATTTCTATCCATTCTGAAAAAAATTAAATGAAAGTATGGAAGAAGGGCAAGAGAAACTCTAGACACAGAGGGGGAAATATAGAACACTTAAAGGTAAAGGTAAGTTATTCTCATTTCTATACCACTTTCTCACTGTAGAACATAAATTTGTAAAAGTACACATGCACATACCTTTCTTGACCCTAAAATCCAAATTCACTCATAGGCATGTGTTTGCATCACACACACACACACACACACACACACACACACACACACACACTACCTTTGAGTCAAAAATTGAAAGGAGCCTGGCCAATGTGGCTCAGTTGCTTGGCTGTTGCCCCATGCACCGAGAGGTTGCTGGTTCCATTCTGGTCAAAGCATTCCCCTCATGACATATGTCCGGGTTCAGGCTCAGTTCCCATAGCGGACAGGCAGGAGGCAGCCACTCCATGTTGAGCTCTCATATCAATGTTTCTCTCTCTTAAAAAAAAATCAATATAACTATTCTTTTTTTAAATAAAAATTTTAAAATTGAAAAGAAGTCACTATTTATACTCACTTTCTCTACCCCTAATCATTTCACTTTACCTTTAATATAATTTTTTACTGGATGAACACAGCTGCATGTGCATAAGTACAAACACACAGTGTATATGTTCTTGAGTCACCTGTAGGACATTATAACTATTCACACTGTTCCTCTCCTTTTACTCAAGCTAACTTTGGTTCCAGTTTTAAAATCTTGCTGCTACAATAGATTATTCCTATTGGCCCCAACTCAGATAAAAGAAACACACTGGATTAGCAATTTAGTTACTAAATTATACCCAACTACCACTGACATATTAATAGATGGCCTGGTCCCTTTCCATTTCTTGGCCCATAAAGCAACCTCAAATTCTTCTTTACTCCTGCTTTAAATTTTCATTTGGAAAAAATAATTAGTCTGTCATAATCAAAGGTAAAAGTATTACAAGAAAATACTTTTTATACAAGTAAACCTTTCTTCCAAACCTTACGTAAGAAAACAAATTTAACTATTTAACTTACTTGTTCTTTTACGTAGTGCCTTTCGAAGTCTAATTTCAGACTTGTAAGATATTGCCTATACTTGTTAAACTCAGTCAAGTTACATATAACCTAAAAAACAAAACAATAACAAAAAATATAAGTATAAACATTTAAAAATCATAGCAATCAGTTTCTGAAGGGAAAATATTAATAATATGCAATTTGATAGCATTTTGGTATCAAGAGTAATAAATTGCTAACAATTTTGTAAGTAGTAGCTCTCTACAATTGTTAAACAACAGGACATATCTAAGTCTCATTACTTTTTTAAAATATGATTTATGAATTTAGTACACATAATTGGAGTTAGAATAAAATGCCTATCTATATATATAAAAACCTAATATGCTAAGTGTCCAACCAATTGGTCGACCATTTGGTCGACCACTCGATCAGTCACTATTACACACACTGACCATTAGGGGGCAGACACTCCAACCAGTCAGTTAGCTTGCTGCTGGAGTCCCACCAATTGGGACTGGGTGAGATGGGCCAGACATGCCCTGGAGCCAAACTCCCATGGTCCCTTCCCAGCCTCTAAAATATTTCTTCTAATTAATGTTCTTTCAATGTGCATAAATTCATGCACCGGGCCTCTAGGGTAATAATGATTACATATTCAATACATATTAGAATATAAAACTATTCTTATGTTTTATCAAGATTGTATCAGGCTAATATTGCTGTGTTCCTAATTTTTTTTCTTTTTAAAAAATATGGAAAGCTTCATGGATTTGCATGCCATCTTTACATAGGGGCCATGCTGATCTCTGTATCATTCCAATTTTAGTATATGTGCTGCCAAAGTAAGTACCCGTGTTCTTATTTTGTCTCGAGTTTTTAAAAATTTCGTAAGACATAATCCTTGGCAAGCATACAAAATCACTGGAGACAGAGAAAGAGAACTGTGATACAGTCAGAAAATTATTTTTATATCCTCAAATTACTTGGTAATCACCTTTTGATATTATAAACAAAAAAGGTGGAAGAAGTAGTATCATTTAGAAACGTAATTGTTGTCTGATTTTCCCTTGACCCAAAATACTAAGTAATTTATAGAATTTCTCATTAAGTATCACCAAGTTAAAAGTGAAACCCCACCCCCACTCCAGTAAAGTATTGAAGCCAGTTTATATCAAGTCTTGGAAGTATTCAATGATTAAAAGGAAGTAATCTTCAACCCACTTCATTATTGCGGGTAATGTAGCCTCCTTTCTTTAATCTCCTCCGGATATCTTCACGTGAATGGTACGCTCTTAAATGTGGATCATGAAGACTATTATATTGGTTGTCCAAAAGTCGACAATAAGGATCAGTCAGGTTAAAACCGTAAGAAGGTTGAAAAAGCTGCAAACACAGATTTTAAAAGATGATAAATGTAAATTTTGAAGATGACTGAATATTCATTCAAAATAAAGCATGCAAGAAGAATTCGACATGGGGAAACCCAGCAACAGAAAGATTTGGATTGTGTAATGCTTATCGCTTATTCCTACCCGCCCCCACCACACACACACACACCTGACCTGAATTATTCTAAAAACCCACCCTCACTCAATTCCTCCACTGATCTCCATCAGTTTCTATCCCTGAGCCAGAGAGAAAGGAAGAAAGGAAATGAAAGAGACTAGGATAAAATGTGTTTTAATGGACAAAGCTAATGCTAAGTTCTCCATTTCCTCCCTCCCTCTTCCAGGTCAAGGGACTGCATTCAAAGTATAAAGAGATAATATTAACTATGACTGTTATACCTCAATAATCTAAAAATGAAGAAATTGGAAAATCTTTTTTGAAGATGCATGGGAACAAGTTTATCAAATAATAATAGAAGTAAAGCTCAGATGTTAAAGATGATGGATTAGCCAAAGCCGGTTTGGCTCGGTGGATGGAACATCGGCCTGCGGACTGAGGGGTCCCAGGTTCGATTCCGGTCAAGGGCATGTACCTGGGTTGCGGGCACATCCCCAGTGGGAGATGTGCAGGAGGCAGCTGATCGATGTTTCTCTCTCATCGATGTTTCTGACTCTCTGTCTCTCTCCCTTCCTCTCTGTAAAAAATCAATAAAATATATTAAAAAAAAAAAAGATGATGGATTAAAGAATTATTGTTTCTTGGGATCTTATCTAATACAAGAAATCAAACAATCTCTGAATGCTATAATCAGGAAAAAAATCAAGATCTGGATTTTAAAGTTTAATATATTGAACCAGTTATGAAGGATATTGACAGGAATTGAGATTTCTCCATATGTGAAAGACCAAATACAACCTTGTGCAACAGCCATAAATATTTAAAAGAAGAAAAATATCAGCTAATAGTCATGTTTCTATGTGTTATTTTGCAGGGGTGGGGAACCTTATCTGCCAAGGGCCATTTGGATATTTAAAATATCATTTGTGGGCCATACAAAATTATCAATTTAGAAATTAGCCTGCTATATTTGTCAAACATTTAATTAACTCACCCCTAATGCCTTGGCAGGGCCAGACCAAATGATTTTCAGGGCCTTATAGGGCCCATGGGCCGAATGGTCCCCACCCCTGCTTTAGAGGAAATAGCTGTTATTTAATCTCAGTTGTAAATGAAAACATTACCAAGTTGGGGCTTTTTTTTGTTGGTTGGTTGGTTGGTTGGTTGGTTTTTTTGGTGTGAATTCTTAGTCTAATTTTTAATAGCAGGATGGTGTTAATACATTAAGCAAGAACCTGTGAAAGGGAAAAAGTAGAGGACAGAAGTAGATGTGGACTTTGTCCTAGTGTCTTTACATTATTTTTGTTTTTGTTTATGTGTTTTTGCTCAGGAAAACAGAAGTTTTAGTCTAAAGTAATATCAAAGCAGGAACTGGCCCAAGTGAAAGGCGACTGGAATGTGTGGGGATGTGGCAAACCTGAGAGCACCTATCTTGTTTGCAGGCCCGATTCAATGTACAAGACTCCACAGTCCTGACCTGTCTGCAGGGACCTGTGTTGCTCTGTCTGGCAGAAGCCATGTCAGTCATGTTCTGATCACTAAGCAGCCTGGCTGGGTGGTGTCCTAAAAGAACTCCCTTAATGTAGGTGGGAGGATGCTTCATATGTGGGCAAAGGGGATTGGTGGGAACTGATAGGATGCTAGCTTTCCTTTCCATTTAAAGCTTCCTTGGAAAGTTTCTGTTTTCAGCCTTAACCCCAGGCTTTAACCCTTCCAAGGGGCCTAAATCATAAAATGCAATCATTCCTTAATTGCCAGTGCTTCCCTGAGAAGGAAGAGAATGGAATTCTGTGGGGCAATGTCTTGAATTCAGTGAAGCCAGATATGAAGCAACCAACAGTCATGAGTCCAGGACTGTCGGACTGTTTCTTTTAGAGGTTGACATTTAGCTGTCGAGTTCTTTTAGATAGTGATTTTAGTTGTGATGAGATGTTTCTCAAGATCAAACCTGGACTACTTGACCTATAAACAAAGAACACCTTTTAAACAAATCCATTCATGCCCTACCTGGTTTGGCTCAGTGGATAGAGCTTTGGCCCATGGACTGAAAGGTCCTAGGTTCGATTCTGGTTACAGATTAGATCCCCAGGCGTGTGCGGGAGGCAACCAATTGATCTGTCTCTCTCACATCACAGTAGGTCCTTAGGTTACATGGGAGATATTTTCGCCGTAAGTTGGAACCCACCTACATAAGCACCTGTGTCACTCACCTGGAACATATACACAGCAGTAATGAAGTGAAACAGTAAAAAAAATTTAAAAGAAAGATAACAATTCCTGACCTTTACTTGTGGTAAATAAATAATAAAAAACATAAAGCACATATGTACATACGTCGAAATGATGGAACTTTTTTTTTTTAATAAATAAATGGGAGATGGCGATGTAACCACAAAACAATGTACCTCGAATCCAACGTAACCCAAGGACTGCCTGTATTTCTCTCTCTGTGCCTCTCCTCCTCCCTTCCACTCTCTCTAAAAATCAATGGGAAAATATCCTCGGGTGAGGATTAACAAAAAATTCATTCATTGGAGCCAGGATAATCCTGTTTGTCAATTAAAATAACTGGTTTGTGTCCCTTTGGGAAAAAAAAGAAGAAACACACTAAAAGTGTAAATATAAAGCATTATTCATTGAGAAACTTTTACTAAAAGAAAAGGAAGGCTCTCACAAACTCAGTCTTCAAGGAAATTGGTTGGTGCCAAATTATAATTAAATGAAGACAGTTTGGGGAAAACGAACATAAGAATAGAGAGAACATTTTTTAAAAAGTAGTTGATAAGCGAATTAATATTTGACAGAAAATGGTAACACAATAAATAATATATTTGAGGAAGCAGACAAAAGAAAGAGGGCAAAATTTAAACACAAGAGTAGTAGTATAGGTGGCAAGCATGCTGTAGGAAAGCTAGTTTGTGTGAATGTGACCCAGTTAAATTGTGTGAAGTAGGCATGTTTTTAGTCAGCTTGCTCTATCCTATAAAAACAGATTTGTTTTTAAAAACAAGTATTTTCCAGAAGCAAAACTTGCTTTAAGAAATCATGTTTACTTGGCAAGTATCAAATACCTACTCATTTCTGACATCACAGAGAGCAGAAGGGTAAGGGGGTCTCATGGAATTCTTCCTTGTAGAATTTTTGGCTCTGTTAATCAAAGAAACCATTCAAAAAGAATGTCCTCCACCTCCTTCAGGGTTAGTGTTTGACTCAAGGACTGGGTAGGTTTCAGGGTGGGAGTAGTGTTGAGAACTAAAAACAAGAAAGTGTTTGAGGGAAGTACACACCGTAACCCAGTATGAGTTAAGTTATAAAACTGTAATTACAGAATTATAGTGTTGAGTAAAATTATACAAACAAGGGCAATGCAAATTCTAAGGAAATATAAGCTCACTGGGGGCTATGATAGTTCACAAAATAAATCTTGAAATATGGTTGAAATCCATAGACTGAGGAGAAGAGGGACGGGTACACCAGGTTTGGGGGAAGGTGAGGAAAGGCACAGAAGCATTCCCATGGTATGTGAGAGGAGGTATGAAAGACCCCAACTGGAGGAAGCGGAGGTTCTGGGTGGGAGTAAAGACTGGACAGGGGAGAAACCAAGATGGCGGCATAGGTTAACGCCAGAGATTGCTGCCTCGAACAACCACTTCAAATTACACCTAAAAGACAGAACGGACATCATCCAGAACCACAGGAAGGCTGGCTGAGTGGAAATTCTACAATTAGAAGGAAAGAGAGTATCATACCCAGACTCAGAGGAGGCGCAGTGCTGAAGTGAAATACTCAGGTGCGGAGTGCTCGCGGAGCAGGCTGGCAGCGGAGGGCGCGGTTGTTGTTTTCAATCGGGAGGGAGCTTCAGACTCTGAGCTCCAGAGCCGGGCGAGTCTCTAGGGACCCAGACTCAAACGGGAGAAGCAGGACTGTCTGGCTTCAGTCGGAACTCGAAGGCAGCTTTCTCTCCGAGGTTTGCAGCAGTTGCTGGGACTCAGTGAGGCAGAGCACCTAGGGATGGAACTGAGAGCAGCCATAACTGCTCGCTCCAGCCCGCCCTGTAGATCCCCTGGGACCCGCCCCGCCCAAGCCCTGCACAGAGGCATTGCCGGATAGCCTCAGGCAAAGGCTAGATTAGCACCGCCCTAGAGATCCAGCACAGAAGTTCTCCCACTGCAGACACAGCTGATTCTCATAGCCAGTTGGCCTGGAGGTCAAATCCCCGCCAGTATTACCAACAACAACCAAGGCTTAACTACAACAAGACAGTACACAAAGGCCACAAGGGGGTGCACCAAGAAAGCATAAAAAATGCGGAGACAAAGAAACATGACAGAAATGGAGGATACAGAACTCAAAACCACACTTTTAAGGTCTTTCAATAAGTTTCTAGAAACTGCCGATAAACTTAATGAGATCTACAAGAAATCTAATGAGACCCTCGATATTGTGATAAAGAACCAACTAGAAATTAAGCATACACTGAGTGAAATAAAGAATATTATACAGACACCCAACAGCAGACCAGAGGAGTGCAAGAATCAAGGCAAAGATTCGAAATGCGAAGAAGCATAAAACACCCAACTGGAAAAGCAAAATGAAAAAAGAATCCGAAAATACGAAGATAGTGTAAGGAGCCTCTGGGACAGCTTCAAGCGTACCAACATCAGAATTATAGGGGTACCAGAAGATGAGAGAGAGCAAGATATTGAAAACCTATTTGAAGAAATAATGACAGAAAACTTCCCCCACCTGGTGAAAGAAATAGACTTACAGGTCCAGGAAGCGCAGAGAAGCCCAAACAAAAGGAACCCAAAGAGGACCACACCAAGACACATCATAATTAAAATGCCAAGAGCAAAAGACAAAGAGAGAATCTTAAGAGCAGCAAGAGAAAGAAACTCAGTTACCTACAAGGGAATACCCATACGACTGTCAGCTGATTTCTCAACAGAAACTTTGCAGACCAGAAGGGAATGGCAAGAAATATTCAAATGATGAATACCAAGAACCTACAACCAAGATTACTTTATCCAGCAAAGCTATCATTCAGAACTGAAGGTCAGATAAGGAGCTTCACAGATAAGGAAAAGCTAAAGGAGTTCATCACCAACAAACCAGTATTATATGAAATGCTGAAAGGTATCCTTTAAGAAGAGGAGGAAGAAGAAAAAGGTAAAGATACAAATTATGAACAACAAACATGCATCTATCAACAAGTGAATCTAAGAATCAAGTGAATAAATAACCTGGTGATCATAATAGAATCAGGGACATAGAAAGGGAATGGACTGACTATTCTTGGGGGGGAAAGGTGTGTGGGAGATGCGGGAAGAGACTGGACAAAAATCGTGCATCTATGGATGAGGACAGTGGGTGTGGAGTGAGGGCGGAGGGTGGGGAGGGAACTGGGAGGAGGGGAGTTATGGGGGGAAAAAAGAGGAACAAATGTAATAATCTGAACAATAAAGATTTAATTTAAAAAAAAAAAAAAAAGACTGGACAGGAAGGTTGGGGGAAATCATGGAGTGTCTTCCGGGAGGCAGAGCTTTCTTCCATTAAAGTGAAGTTAAAGTACCTAAGTATGTTAACTCACTTCAATTCCATTTTTTCCTCACTGTTGTGTATGAAATAGAATTTCTCTCAAAACAAAATCATAGAGAAGTTTCTATAATGAGATTTTTGTCCAATTTATTATTGGTTAAAATCATAACATAATTAAATGCCAGCCAACACCAATAATTTTCCACCTTTGAACCAAACATATTTATTTCTAAGTAAATAAAATCTCACTGAATATATCTTGTGTTGTTACCAAAAAAAAAAAAAGTTAACATGCTTCTAAAACTTAAGAGAGAACTAAGAATAACACCTGTCCATCCCATGATTCTGTGCAAGCCAGACTAAATGAAGTTGATTGGCATGAATCTAAACAATACCTTGGTTTACATGTGTGTTTGAGTTGATTTTTTTTTCTGTAAATGTTAATGCGAATTCCCTTAATGGAGTTTGTATAATGTAGCACTTACTTGACTTTAAAAGCAAGTAGAAATGGGCAAAGTCAACCAATGTCAAGACAAAAACTACCTTTTTATTTAACTTCGTCGTATAGTATAAATTATTGCTCCCAGGGATCACAGGCAGCTTGACCTCAAGAGGCAGATCCAGTAGTGCAGCCACTCCACTGTCTGGGAAATGGGCTTCGTGCTCACCCTGTCAGGAACAAAGGAGAGTTTTGTCTTTCCTTTTAGGCTTTATTTCCTTAGTTCAAGCCTATCTACCCCTAGTTTAACCAAAGGAAGCAAAGGGTCATCCAGTCAGGATTAAAGGGGCCTGGCCTGTCAGACAGCCCTGAAGACCTGGTCTGTCACCAGCCAGTTGCTGCTCCCCACTGCACTGCATGAAGGTACCCCAAGCACCATAGTTACACCCATGTGACCTGTCTGTGGCTCTCTTTGCCCTGCCCCACAGGAAAACAGGGCCTCTTGCCACTCACAGCTCCACACTGCTGGGGGTTGTTGTCCAGGCTGCTAGAGTTCTTCCTGGTGGTGGCAACGCTGTTACCCTTGGAATGGGTGCTGAGGTAACTCTCCATTGAAGACCTGGGCCCCTGCCCTCCTCATCCCTTGTCCAGACCTCACCTGGAATGGCCGGTATGCCCTTTTGCTTGAGGCCCCGCTATCTCCGAGTTCCAGGTTGTAATGTGGGGGCCCCATAGGGCGGAGCCCTCAGAGGCTGGCTCCTCTCGCTTGAGGCCTGAGCTTCCAGAGCTGGGGAAATCAGTCCACAGGGCCTGGTCCAAAAATCATTTCTCTCTGAAACCAACACAAAACCACATCAAACCAAACCCCAAGTCACAACATATAACGCTTTGCTGGCGCATAGCTGGCTCATTTCTTCGGGCCTCCAAGGAGCTATGGTTCCAGAAAAAGAAAACTCCAGGAGTGATTGTACCAACCATTCTAGGGCCAGAGGCCTGGCTTTCCACCTGTCCCCTCCTAGACACTATGGCCACACCTTTCCCAGGCTCCTGCAACCACTTCCCACTCCAGGTCTCAATGACGTTCCTTTGACCCTTGTTTCTCATCCAGTTCATCTGACTGCTACCCTTTATCCTTCTTGATCCTTTGGTGTCCACTGTCACCTCTCTTGCCTTAAGCTCTCACTTTATAATCCCAAAGTTTAAAAATTAAAGTAACATTCAAAGGGCTCAACAACATATATTCATTCATGTTACCAAATAAGAACAGGCAACACTTAAGAGTTAAGGACTGTATCTACCCTGCTTTGCTCCATAACAATTACTGCTCTCAGTTCCAGAGCTCAGGCCCTCTCTTCCCGGCACAGCTACTTCCTCCAAAGGCTGATCTACCAATCATGCCCAACTCCTTTCCTGGGTCTCAAGTTAAGCTTAACTGGTAGGTTGTTAATATTATAATGATGGTTTTAATTGTCTGATCCACATACATGCTTTCAAATGTTTTTATGGTACTGGTTTAGCATGAAATCAGTGAATGTTAACTTCTAATCAAAGCTGGATCTGAAATTCTTTTCCAAGATAATGTCCTTATAGGGAAATTCAATTGATTATTCTAATTCACAGCATCCACTCCCTAAAATAAGAAATATCGCCATTCATTTATTCAATAAACATATATCGTAAGATTGCTTTCGTTTTCCTCAATTTTCAGCCTTCCTCTGATCCCTCCTTCTCTCAAAAAAAAAAAAAAAAAGCCAAAATGGAAATAACCTTGGTAAAATGAAGTCAAGCAGACATGGTTTTGAATCCTAACTCTGGATTTGAATTCCTTTTTCTCTATCTCTAAAATATTCTCCCCTATAAAACAGGAAAAACAATGTCTTCCTTTCAAGAAAATTTCTGTGAAGGTATGTGTAAAGAACAGACCTAATTGCTTGATATTTAACAGATCCTCAATGAACAGTAACTATTCAGTTTAAACGCCTACAATATTTCCCCCAAATCACTAACCTCTAGCACCTCTGTTTTCACCAGTTACATTTTAGAAATCGTTATGCATAAAATATTATGGACTTTATTTTTTACCTTTAATCACATTTAACAATATATGTAAAATAATACTAAATGACCTTAAAACCCAAGTTTGATCGTCATTCCCCTTTGCCTAATCTTTCAACAGCTCCCCACTACAGTTAATATAAAATCTAAATTCATCACCATGGCATTCAAAAGGGGACAGGATCTGGTTCCTGCCTATCTACAACCTAATCTCACATCACACTTCCTCTAACTTAGTAAGCTCTGGCCACATTGCTCAGTGTGTTGAATACACATGTTCTTTCCCACATTAAAGACTTTGCATTTGCTGTCCTCTTCACCTACACACGTGCTCCCCACCCACTCTCCCATCCCATGGCCAGCTTCTACCCATACTTCCTGTTTCGACCCAGATGTCATTTCCACGTAAGCCTCCTCTGACAATCATCCCTGTAAAGGTCCTAGTCTCCCATTCTTCCCTTTATGTGCTCTTCTCAGCAGTTCACTTTCTGTTTCTTTTTTAAGACCTATCTTCCCCACTGGAAGGTTAACTACAAGAGAGTATTAAAATGACTCAGGTTTAACATCAAAATTACAACTACACTACAGAACAACCGTCATTCAGAACCACCTGAAATCAAGATGAATGAAAGTCCTATAACTATGAAATTAAAGAAGAAGCCACAACCCTAGCTGGTTTGGCTCAGTAGATAGAGCGTCGGCCCATGGGCTAAAGGGTCTTGGTTCCATTCTGTTCAAAGGCACATACCTTGATTGCAGGCTCGATCCCTAGCCCCTCCACTCCTGGTTGGGGTGCAGCAGAAGGCAACTAATTGATGTATCTTTCTCACATCAATGTTCTCTCTCTCTCTCTCTCTCTCTCTCTCTCTCTCTCTCTCTCTCTCTCCTCCTTTCCACTCTCTCTAAAAGTCAATGGAGAAATATCCTCAGGTGAGGATTAACAATAACAACAAAAAAGAAGCTACATCAAGACTGGTAGAAGGGGAGGAAGCATGGATGAGCTGGTCCCACACCCAGGTGTGGTGGATAAAAATGAAAAGGTATACCTTGGCTGTGGGGGTCACCCCTGAGGAGTGAGGGGTTCCAGGCAGGAAAGTCTCCTTAACTTCTGACTATAAAAAAAAAAAAAGGTGGAAATTGAGGCTGAAGGAGTTTGAGCTCCAGTGCAGGGTCAGCAGCTTGAAAGGCACCAGAGATGTATGGGGAGGAGATGAATTGTTTGGCATCAGGATGAGAGCTAAAGGGGCAGGTTTTTTGTAGACAGAGGTGCTGGCAGAAGCCATTGTTCCTTCGATGAGCCCTTCCCCACAGAGCCAGAGACTCCATAAACTTGTCTCACACTGTTTGACCCACCCTGGTGATTCCCTGAGCCCCTGCCCTACCCAACTTTGGGTCCCACCCAAACTGTGTCCAGTGGCTTTATGAGAGGAAAGGCCTATCTTGGCTCATGCTTCAGATTTTTCTTAAATCTCTCAAACAAGCAGCATCTGGCCTCAGCCAGAGGCTTGCTGAGTGACCCCAGACCCAGCAGCAGCCAGCCTTGTTTGCCTGCTTGGCCTCAAGTGAGCATCTCCAAGCCCAACACAAGAAGCAGCCATCTACAGATCGCTTTGTAGTTTATGCCTAGTGACCCCGGGTAGAACACAGGCAGTGGCTGATCTTGGCCTATGCCTCCAGGGAGGCCCCAAAGCCAGCACATCCAGTAGACAGCTTTAGACCAAGTTGAAGCAACACCACCCAACCATCCCCTAAGTGATACACTCAAGGGCAGACTCAACAGGTACCTGAGCCCTGCTGAAGTAGGTCCTGCTCTATGCAGTGGGTCTCTGCACAGCCGATCCTCCAAGGTTGTTAGAAGTCGGTGGTTAGTGGTCACAGCCAGTCCTTGCAGCCAGTCCTTGCCTCAGCCTGGGTAAATCCCTCCCACTGAAGTGCCAACAGCAAACAAGACTCAACTACAGCCTGGTTAGTCTGGTTCAGTGGTTGAGCTTCGACCTATGAACAAGGAGGTCACAGTTTGATTCCCAGTCAGGGATATGCCCTGGTTGTGGGCTCAACCTCCAATAGGGGGCATGTAAAAGGCAGCCGATCAATGATTCTCTCTCTCATCATTGATGTTTCTACCTTCCTTTCCCTCTCCCTTCCTCTCTCTGAAATAAATAAAAACATATTTTTTAAAAAGATTCAACTACAACAGGAGGGTGTATAGCCCACATGGGGGCACACCTCCAGGGCCTTACTGGGGTGATTGGGGAGGCTGTGCCACTGGACCCAACAGGACACCTAGTACATTAGGCCATGCTGCCAACCCTGGGACACATAGCAGCTCTATCTAATACATAGAAACAAATACATGGGAGGCGGCCAAAATGAGGAGACAAAGAGCGATGGCCCAAATGAAACAACAGAACAAAATTCCAGTAAAGAACTAAACAAAATGGAGATAAGCAATCTACTAGATTCAAAACGCTAGTTATAAGGATGCTCAAAGAACTAACTGAGAACGACAATAGCACAAAAAGAACCAGTTAGAAATAAAAGCTAGAACCAAGACGGCGGCATAAGGTATACACCTGTACATGCTGTCCCCCACAACCACAACAAAACTACAACTAAAAGACAAAATGGCTATCATCCAGAACCACGGGAAAGCTGGTTGAGCGGAAGTTCTACAACTAGAAGGAGAGAAAAAAGCAAATTGAGACTGGGTAGACGGTACGGAGGCACACGAAACAGGCTGGTAACTGGGTGCGCTGTTTTTTTCAATTGGAAGGGAGATACAAGCTCCAGACTGCTCTGAACTCATTTCCAGCAAGACTCTGGGGACCCAGACTCCTACAGGGAGAAACTGGACTGTCTGGCATCAGGTCAGAAAGTGAGGATGGCTTTCTTGCATAGCTGCTCACAGGGATCATTGTTACTGTGGGTGTGCGGGACTTGGGGAACACAGAGACCCAGAGACCCAGAGACGCGGAGATGGCTGACTGACAGCCATCGCTGTTTGCTCCGCCCTGGTGATTCCATGAGACCCCACCCCATCCAATTTACAACCCCACCCAAGCTGTGCACAGTGGCTTTTGCATATGAATCGCCTGTCCTTTCGCAGCTTAACCTAACAAACTGCAGCTGGGTCAGAGAGCTCCAAAACTTCCAAACCCCAAACAAAGAGGAGAAATCTGAAGATCTTGCTGTAGCTCCTGCTGGGTGAACTCACGCAATGGCTGACTTTGCACCTCTTCGGAGATCCAGGAGCCAGTGTACCCAGTGGTCAGATACCAGATTTCAACTCCTCACATCCATAAGTGACACACTCAAGAAGGAGACTCAGTGAGCACCAAAGCCCCACTGAAGCAAGTCCTGCCCCTAAGGGTGTCTCCAGCACAGCAGTTCTTCCACTATAGATACAGCGGATCCTCGCAGTCAATTGGTCTGGAGGTCAGTTCCTCCCAGTGATACCTACAACAATCAAGGCTAAACTACAACAAGACTGTGCACCCTGCCCACAAAGGGGTCACCAAGAGGGTCCACCTGAGGTAATTGGGAAGGCTGAGCCACTGGGCCCAATAGGACACCTACCACACAAAGCCATTCTATCAATACAGGGAAGCATTAAAAATGCGGAGAAAAGAAACAGGTCACAAATGACAGAAATGGAGGAAAGCAAACTACTGGATATAGAGTTCAAAACCACTGTTACAAGGTTACTCAAGAATCTTCTACAAACCTCTGAGAAACTTAGTGAGACCTCCAAGAAATGTAGTGAGACTCTCAAGGTTCTTAATGAGAATGCCAAAAAAAGGAAAAGAACCAGTAAGAAATTAAGCATGCACTGACTGAAATAAAGAATTATACCCAGAGTTCCAACAGCAGACTAGAGGATCCCAAGAATCAAGTCAAAGATTTGAAATATGAAGAAGCAAAAAACACCCATCCGGAAAAGCAAAAAGAAAAAAGAATCCAAAAATATGAAGATAGTGTAAGGAGCCTCTGGGACAGCTTCAAACGTACCAACATCCGAATTATGGGGGTGCCAGAAGAAGAGAGGGAGCAAGATATTGAAAGCCTCTTAGAATAAATAATGACAGAAAACTTCCCCTATCTGATGAAAGTAATAGATTTACAAGTCCAGAAAGAGAAGAGAACCCCAAATAAGAGAAATCCAAAGAGGACCACACCAAGACACATCATAATTAAAATGCCAAGGGCAAAAGACAAAGAGAAAATCTTGAAAGCAGCAAGAAACAAAAAGTCATTTACCTACAACGGAGTACCCATACAACTGTCAGCTGATTTCTCAACAGAAACCATGCAGGCTAGAAGGGAGTAGCAAGAAATATTCAAAGTGATAAACAGCAAGAACCTACAACCAAGATTACTCTACCCAACAAAGCTATCATGTAGAAATGACAGTCAAATAAAGAGCTTCACAGACAAGAAAAAGCTAAAGGAGTTCATCACCACCAAACCAGGATTATATGAGATGCTGAAGGGTATTCTTTAAGAAGAGGAAGAAGAAAAATGTAAAGATAAAAATTATGAACAACAAAGTGACAACAAATACATATCTATCAACAAGTGAATCTAAAAATTAAGTCAATAAAAAAAATCTGATGAACAGAATAAACTGGTGAATATAATAGAAGCAGGGGCATAGAAATGGAGTGGACTAACTATTCTTGGTGGGGAAAGTTGGGGGGGGGGGGCGTGAAGAGATTGGACAAAAATCTTACACCTATGGATGAGGACAGTGGCGGGGGGTAAGGGCATGGAGTGGGGTGGGAACCAGGTGGAGGGGAGCTATGGGGGGATAAAAGAGGAACATCTGTTATAATCTGAACAATAAAGATTTATTGTAAAATAAAGAAAGAAAGAAAGAAAGAAAGAAAGAAAGAAAGAAAGAAAGAAAAGCTAACTGAAATAAAGAATTTACAGAAAAATGACAGTAGAGTCAATGAAGCTGAGAATCAAGTCAGTGATGTGAAATATAAGGAAGAAAAAAACACCCAATCAGAAGAGCAAAAAGAAAAAAGAATCCAAAACAATGAGGATACTGTAAGGAGCCTTTTGGATAACTTCAAGCATACCAACATTTGCATCATGAGGTTACCAAAAGGAGAAGAAAAACAGCAATAAATTGAAAACTTCTTTGAAAAAATAATGACAGAAAACTTCCCTAACTTGGTGAAAAACAAACAAACAAACAAACAAAAACATACATACAAGTCCAGGAAGCACAGAGAATCCTAAACAAGATTAACTCAAAAAGGCTGACATTAAGACATATTATAAATAATAAAGAGCTAATATGCAAATGGTCATCACACCCTCATGCTGTCACGCCATAATGGCTCAGACACTCAACACTGGAGAGAGAGAAATGGGGATCAGCCAGGCACAAATGAGCTCACAAGAGAGGAATGGGGACCAGCCAGGCTGCGGCCAGGTGAGGGACAATCCACACGCCTCGCAGTCCCTGCGGTCCCGGGAGCCAGTGGCCCAGGAGAGGGACAACCCACTCGCCCTGCCGCCCTGGGCACCAGTGGCTGTGTCTGCACCCTGTACATCTAGATAAACATTTTTATGAAATAATTACTAGACTTTACCATCTATGAAGGTCTCCTGATCCATGAAGCTCAAGAGAGAATTTGGAGCAAGCCCACTTGCCTACCTATTCTTTTTTTTTTTTAATTAAATCTCTATTGTTCAGATTATTACATTTGTTCCTCTTTTTTCCCCCCATAACTCCCCTCCTCCCAGTTCCCACCCCACCCTCCGCCCTCACGCCCCACCCACTGTCCTCATACATAGGTGCATGATTTTTGTCCAGTCTCTTCCCGCATCTCCCACACACCTTTCCCCCCCAAGAATAGTCAGTCCATTCCCTTTCTATGTCCCTGATTCTATTATAATCACCAGTTCATTCTGTTCATCAGATTATTTATTCACTTGATTCTTAGATTCCCTTGTTGATAGATTCGTATTTGTTGTTCATAATTTGTATCTTTACCTTTTTCTTCTTCTTCCTCTTCTTAAAGGATACCTTTCAGCATTTCATATAATTCTGGTTTGGTGGTGATGAACTCCTTTAGCTTTTCCTTATCTGTGAAGCTCTTTATCTGAACTTCAATTCTGAATGATAGCTTTGCTGGAAAAAGTTATCTTGGTTGTAGGTTCTTGGCATTCATCACTTTGAATATTTCTTGCCACTCCCTTCTGGCCTGCAAGGTTTCTGTTGAGAAATCAGCTGACAGTCGTATGGGTATTCCCTTGTAGGTAACTGAGTTTCTTTCTCTTGCTGCTCTTAAGATTCTCTCTTTGTCTTTTGCTCTTGGCATTTTAATTATGATGTGTCTTGGTGTGGTCCTCTTTGGATTCCTTTTGTTTGGGGTTCTCTGCACTTCCTGGACTTGTAAGTCTATTTCTTTCACCAGGTAGGGGAAGTTTTCTGTCATTATTTCTTCAAATAGGTTTTCAATATCTTGCTCTCTCTCATCTTCTGGCACCCCTCTAATTCGGATGTTGGTATGCTTGAAGCTGTCCCAGAGGCTCCTTACACTATCTTCATATTTTCGGATTCTTTTTTCATTTTGCTTTTCCTGTCGGGTGTTTTTTGCTTCTTCGCATTTCAAATCTTTGACTTGATTCTTGTGCTCCTCTAGTCTGCTGTTGGGAGTCTGTATAATATTCTTTATTTCACTCAGTGTATGCTTAATTTCTAGTTGGTTCTTTATCACAACATCGAGGGTCTCATTAGATTTCTTGAGGATCTCACTATATTTATCAGTGGTCTCACCAGTCTTTTCGAGGGCCTTACTAAGTTTATTGGCCGCTTCTAGACAGTTCTTGAGAGACCTTAAAAGTGTGGTTTTGAACTCTATATCCTCCATTTCTGTCAGTTGTGTCCTGTTTCTTTGTCTCCGCATTTTTTATGCTTTCTTGGTGCACCCCCTTGTGGTCTTTGTGCGCAGTCTTGTTGTCAGGACCACATAAATATT